CACACACACAAAAACAGATCATAGTACTGGTGAAGTATCTGACATATTTGCACAAATAAACAGCAATGCAGCTACTGTCACAACTAATGCACGCTCACAAGGAATAAGATTTCTAACAGAAGTCACCGGTATGAGATCATTCCACCTCTTGTTTCTTGTTAGCAGTAGGATATTCTAAAAGCAATTTGAGCCTAACCTCATGAAATTTACAGGTAAAATGTTCCCGAATGATTCAAGTAAAGGGTCTACATTGCCAAACAAAGAGAACCGTAGCTCAGAAAAGAGGTGAGTTATTGAAAGTATATCTTTAAATTATGCTATATGATGTTGGGGTATTTCTAATGTAGGTTGGTATGCGTTTTATTTTTTTCAGGTCATCTTCATCTATGCAGTCTGCTGCAGCAAAAGTTAGAATTAAACAACCTGAAGCTAAAAGAAAGAAAACTGAGCAAATTAATCAAAAGATGATCGAATTAGACCTTTTTAGCTCGGATGAAGAATAGAAATATTTACGGTTGTCACTCTTGCCAACCATCTCATGCTATGCCCAATCCTTACAACTTCATGTTGAAATTGATTTATTCTTGGGGCAGGCATTTTCTCGTTCGTGTAATCAGTTAATTATGTTCTAGAATCTACATTTAATTGTAATTTAAACTTTTTCGATAAGAAGATTGCAAATACTAACTTGTTAGTGTTATTGTTGGATCTACCCTCAAGCAATATTCAATTGTGCAGTGTGTATTCTTTGCATGGCTGTAATTTGCAGCTGTCCATAATTCTCCGCATGCCTACCCCTCTTACCTCACTATAATCATTTGCACCTCACATCCTCGGAGCTGTTGAGATCAGCCTCAATTCCCTCTTGGTTCACAATGTGGTATTGTCCTGGTGAAAGCCAGAGGCAATTGAGATTATATTGTTCTCAGTTTATAAAACCATGGAACTAGACTTTGGGCTTTCAAAGTTCAAACCATGAATGAGGAAATGCTAGCATATATCACAACTACTGTCAGCAATCAAAATGACAATTATTAACTGTAAACCAATTCACACCAATGGAAAACAATGCATATCATTGTTTT